GCGCGTCGAACTGGTCCGCGTGGGCCGCGCCCGTGTCGACGCTGACGTCGCTGCCGGAAGCTCCCGAGCGGCCCGTGGTGACGGAGGCGACGATCATCGCCGTGGGTCTACGGGTCGTCAAGCCGAACAACGGCGGGAAGATCATCTCGAAGCTGGTGGTGCAGCGGCGGGAGTTGCGGCCCGGCGGCGTCAAGAGCGAGTGGGCGAACGAGCTCGGCTTCCCGCCGGCGCCCGGCGCGACGGGCACGCCGTGCGACCTCACCATCGAACCCCTGAAGCCGTCCGTCGTCTACCAGTTCCGCGTCGCCGCGGCGAACGCGAACGGCACGTCCGGCTGGTCGCTTCCCTCCTTCCGGTCGAAAACGCAAGACGCGGAGCCGCCGACGAAGCCCGGCGACCCGGAGGTCGCCAAGTGCTACCCGAAGGCCGCGGACTTGACCTGGGCGCCCGCGGACCCGCGCGGGTCGCCCGTCGCGGGCCACGTGCTCGAGCTCAAGAGGCTCCGCCGCGCGCCGCCCGGCGCGGCCGCGGCCGGCGACGACGAGTCGGACGCGAACGACAGCGACAGCGGCGGGTCCATCGACAGCGACGAGGCGCGCGCGCCCCTCGTCCGGGAGGTCACGCGCGAGACGGCCGGCGCGGCCGACGGCATCGTCACGACGCTCGAGATCGGCTACCGGAGCACGTACCACGCGGAGAATTTGGAGCCGACGGCGCGCTACGTGTTCCGCGTCGCCGCGTGCAACGGCGAGGGCCAGGGGCCCTGGAGCGCCTGGTCCGACTCCTTCGCGACGCTCCAGCCCGCCCAGCCGGCGCCGACGGCGCCGCGCGCGACGCAGCGGCGGACGAACGCGCGGGGGAAGAGCCTGTTCCCCGGCGCGGCGCGCGACTAACGGGGTACCACGTCCCGCCGGCGGGCTATGGTCGGGGAGTTACCTAGGGAACCCGCCTAGTCCTCGGGCGCGCGCAGCTCGGCGACGAGCTGGGCGACGGTCGCGGGGGGGAGCACGGGGGACGTGGCGAGGCGGTGGACGGCCTTGGACTTCTTGTCCCCGGGGTAGTGGGACCAGGGCTTCTCCTTCTTCCACTCCTTGAGGAGCGCCCAGGCCCGCTCCGGGGGCATCGTCTCGTCCTCGGCGAGGAAGTAGGGCATGTACTGGTCGCGCACGTCGTAGGACGCGCCGGGGCCGCCGCCGTCGACGGAGTCCGAGACGACGAACGTCGTGAAGAGGACGACGCGCGGCGACGCCGGGTCGCGGATCGCGTCGCGCGGGCCCGCGTGGACCATGGCGTGGTCGCCGACGAAGATCGAGCCGGCGTTCCAGACGTCCTTGGACCGCGGCGCGGCCTCGTCGTCGCCGCCGCGCCGCGGCCGCGCGGGCGCGGGCGCGGGCGCCGCGGCGGGCGCCGGGACCTCGCCGCGGCGCGTCGCGTCGCGCATGCCCGCGAAGATCCGGTCGCGGGGCAGCGCGAGCGCCGGCGACGTCCGCAGGAGGTCCGCCCACATGGACGTGCTCGCCGGGTCGATGCACGCGAGGCGGAACGCGTCCTCGACCGTCGGCGTCGGGCCGTCGT